TGGGCTTGCGACTACCACTTCCATATAGCTGCTTGGGCTCTTATCCCTTTCTTTGGGCAGTCCAAGTTGTGGCATTTCATCCTTTTCCTCCATGGCCTTGACGCTGATATGACATCTACCCTCAGCCACCCATACACAGTCTCCTTCCCCTCCAAAGTTGACTTTTGTGAAGATTCGGTGTTCTTTTGTTCCCTCCAGCAGTCTCGACCTCGGCACAAAAGCAGACTCCAAGATTGAAATCATCAACAGCAGTATTGGGTACAATTCCAATCTTCATGCAGGAGTCAAGATAATGAAATCGATGATCCCACCAAGGTCCAATGTTTCTGATAGTGTCTGCGATTGGAATCATTCAGACACGTCACGGACGGTCAGCAGTCTTACCTTGCTTCTTCCAGAAGTAGAACAGCAACTGCTGAATACGGTCCTTTTCTTCAGCATTATCCCCTCCTATGAGATTGGTCTTGCTGCCACAAAAATTTCCTCCTTGACTATTGTTGTATTGGGTTTGGCTTTGGCTGTCACAGTACAACTATTTGTTTGGATTCTTTTGACCCATGCAGTTGAGAAGATCTTATTGATTCTGCCACACTATGCTCAGCAGGGCTTCTTTGGTATCTACATCAACCATGTAAGACAATTTTCGCGCAGGGAATTGGCTTTGGATGGTTCTCTATGGACACCCATGTTTGCCTGCTGTGCTCGATTCATGGGAGCTGAGGTTGATGGTGACCTCTGGTACTTTGGTAATTCTCTTTATGAGTATGGTAAACTTCACTTCAAAGGCAGCGTGATTGTGGACATTCCCATGTTAGTGGACACTACATTGAGCAATGGGCTGCATTGATGACACCTATGTGTCTGGACTGTTGCTTCCAGGATGCTATGCCTCAGCTGGAGCAGAAGTGTTTGGCCCAGAAAATGGTCCGTGGAAAGTATTCCTCAGGGGTGACTGCAACAAAGATTCTGTGGATGTTGAGTTGGGGAGTAACGCTACTTCTTCAGTAATAATTGAGGCCTGAAGTGCCAGTGGGGCACCCATTCGAGCTTGATTTGGCTGGCTGATGTTTTTGTGATGCACTGCAAAGTCAAAGCTAAGCTAACCATGACATTTTATTAGATTTGTGGCCAAGCGGATAGTTTTCTACTTCCTTGGGTTCGTTTCTACCTGCATACCTAGCTCCTACATCCTATGTGTGTATATGTGGCTTGTTTACACCTTGCACAGTACGACAGGATGTAAAGGGGGTCTGCGATTTTGTGGGGTGAGAATGGATTCCAGCCACGGTTGTGTGGACTCGAAGTGCAGCGGGGCAGCACGAGCGCAATCACAACCAGGATCGAGCAGACCAACAGACAGAGGAATTAGGGGCAGAAGAAGATTCTATCCAACGGGGCCAGTGAAAGGGGGTGGGGGAGACGACACAGACTAGCTAGTCGCAGAGACCACGAAGAGCGCCACGATCGTCCCAAGAATGCCGCCCGGCAGCGAGCTCATCGTATCGCAGGAACACGAGAACCCAGGGAGGTACCGGTACATCGGGTACCAGAAGGCCATTCATTCGGGAGTTGGTTCCAAGAAATAATGGACTACCAGCTACACAAAACAGGGTAACCATGGGGCTGATCAGCTGGACCTTTTCGGTGGACTAGGGCGGGTGGGCGGGTACCATAGGTCTCGGCGGGGTGGTGGCCCCACGTAGCGGTACAAACACTAACACCATCAAATCGGGCAAACCAGACCTCGGGTTCCGTCTTTAAAAACAGCTGGCAAGGTGATTACCGCACCTTTCATCTTGCATTTTTCGCGTCGAACATTGTCATCGTCACCATGACAAACAACGGGATGCTTCTTGCGGATGTTGGCTGCAACACCTCCGCGTCGAGAGGCTGGGCTACTGTACTGCAGCTAGACTCTTGTTTACAAGGAGAACTATCCGTCAGATTGATCATGCATGTTGGGCGAGCGCGATTGTGACCAGATGAACGATGATGATCGCGCAAGGAAGCTATCTACGAGCTCGCAAAGAAGCAATCTGTGGCTGTGGATACCGCGACTCCACAGTCTACAATGAAAGAAATCATCCAAATCAAGACGGAAACCACAAACAACCATGACGAAACCGGTAATCTGGCGATGTTTCAGGCAGTACCGGTAGCCGTCATGGAACAAGGAGGGGCTTGGAGTGCTCGTTGGGCACAGAAAAATAACAATACGTACACAGTGTACCGCTGATGGTTTTGAACATGGACGGATTCTTTGCAAAACGGGCAAAAGCAACAACGACAATACTCCCTTCCAAACCAAGATTCAAAACGACAAGGTTACTGAACGAGGATCCGTCGAACCACTCGATTGGCTGGTCAGATGGTCATGATGTACGGTGCGTACACACACATGATGAATGCATTTTGGTCCGATGCACAGTACCGCCGTGTACAAGCACATGCTTCACGCGGCCATGCGGTTGCATCTCGTCCTCCAGCCATCCCCCCGAATTCTACACGGCCGCTCCATATGTTGCTATTGTCTCCGGTACATTGCTTCCACCTTTCGATAGCACATAGTAATGTACCGGTACGTATGTGGCTAGCTTGTAGAAAAATCGTAGTATTATCCTTCGAGTCTAGCTACGGTAGAGCAAGTGTGGAGACCATCGTTCGGCACCCAGATTGGAGTCGCCGAACGCTGAGTCGAACTGTACTTTACTCCAATCTACTATTGCCGTGGGAGGAGCGAGATTGAGAGACAACCGCCTCCACCGGTATCTACCTCCTAGAGCCATGAGCAAGGATTCGTCACCGAGCTTCCATCGTAGAACCCACCTGTGATACATGTTACGGAGGATTGTTAGAATTCGTAGGCAAAGGGGGTAATACCAGTAAGAACAGCCAGTCCGAATCCCTTCGGTATAGATAGCTTCCCTACCAGTGTTCTAATACCCCGTTGCTTCTATAGAAATTTTTAAACCTTCTATCTAGACCACCTCACGACCGTGCCAAGCAAGTAAGTGAATGGTGGGCTATGATGATCATTAGTTTTGCAGATTCAACACACAACCGTGACCCAGCTACCGGTATTATGCGGCTTTGTGCGGTACGAGGCTGCCGGTACCGGTATGCTTGAACACTCGAATGCTTGAACGCTTGAACGTGTGTTTGTGTCGAAGAAGAAAGTGTGTGTCGAATGTATTAAATAGACTTGCTGACTTGCTCACTCAATTAAAATTTTTACTCTCCACTACAGAAAGAATTCCAAGGAAGCTAACTGGTACTGTACATGCAGTTTACTGCAGCATGGACATGGTAGCGAGTGATCTATGACATATACATGAGAGGCTCCAAGGAACTGGCAGTGTTGGGATAGTTAAAGGGAACCGGTCCATGTAACTTACTCGTACTACCTGGTGCTAGCTAGACCTAGTACCGGTACTTGTCCACGAATTTGCCATGGATGCATGGTTCTTTGCTCTTTCTAGGAATCGCCCAACAGGGAGAATGGGCCCAACAGGGAGAATGCTTGTTGAGAACCCCAGCATCTGACCGTTTCTTTTTTGGATGACCTGTCTGGGGGCTGGAGGGAGCTCTCCAAGAGCTTCCACCGGAAAGATCGCGTGTTGGCAACAGGGAGAATTCTCGCTGTTGGGCCATTTCTAGCTTTCGCTTCCGAGAAATGTCATTTTGTGTCCAGCGAGTATGTACACAAAAGTAAGTGTACTCGTACCGGTAGTGCTTACCGGTGAGCATACCTTTCATCCAATCGTACTTCAGAAGTGGAGTTTAGCTGGTTCTCTACCAGTTTACAGCACAGCCGTAGCACTTACTTGTGCTAAAAACACTCCCACAAATTACAATAACACCCACAACAAGAGTGAATAGAAAACCCAAAACAGATTGCCATGATGAAGTTCTCCTCAACTATACTAGAAGCCCTCAACCATCATGCAACAGAGACTCCTGATAAGGTTGTCTTTACCTGGGTAGACAACACATGTCAGGAACAGAACAAGATGACATTCAAGCAGCTTGAAGATGCATCCAATGCGGTGGCTGCTCGTCTCCGGAAGCTGGGATGCAAAAAGGGAGATCGAGTCATGGTGTCTTATCCCTTTGGGCTTGAGTTCTTGGCAGGAATGTTTGGTGCCATGAAGATTGGGGTCATCCCCTGCTCCATCTATCCACCCAATCCGAACCAGCTCAAAACAGAAATGCCCAAATTCCGTGGATTTGCAGAGGATGCCGGAGCCAAGTATGCCCTCTCCACCAATACATTTGCCACTGCCATGGCTGCAGCCAGTGTCCTCTACAAAACAGGTGTCACATGGATCGGAACAGACAAACTGTCAATCAAGAAACCCAACCCAAACAAACCCAAGGGTTTTGAGAAATTTGTGGGAGAACCCGAAGAACTCTGCTTTATACAATACACATCTGGAAGCACTGGTCGGCCCAAAGGAGTCATGATCACTCACAACAATCTTGTGGAGACCTGTAGGGCTGGTATTTCCTTGACTGATTTAAATACTGCTTCTGTGGCAGCTCTTTGGGTCCCACAATATCATGGTAAGTTTGGCTGGTGGCTCTTTCCTCGTTGCTACTGCTCATTCATTTTCTGATTTGATCCCTTTGGTTTTCTTCTTCCTCATTAATAGACATGGGACTTACAGGATTTATGTCTTGCCTCTACACTGGAAGTCAACTGGTTGTGGCATCACCACTGGACTTTATTTCCAGACCACTGCTGTGGTCAGATATGGTGGAGACATACAAAGCGACTCATACATCAGCACCCAACTTTGCATATGCGCTGCTCCTCAAGCGTTTAGAGCAAGCCAATAGAAAAGCGGACTGGAGTTTCATGAAGGCAGCGATGTTTGGTGGTGAACCAGCACAAAGCCATGTTGTGGATGCAGTAGCAAAGACCCTCTCCATCAATCCTGAGCATGTCTACAATATCTATGGCATGGCTGAAATGGTGGTCTTTGTGACAGGGGGACCAGCCAAAGCAGACTCTGATGAAGGGCTTATGTGTTGTGGCAAAGTAGATTCACCTACTCTCATGCTTCGTATTGTACAGGATGGAAAAGAGGTTGTGGATGGACAGGTTGGGAGCATCTGGGCACAGTCACCTCGGGTGGCAGTTGGTTATTATGGCCAACCAGAGCTGACCAAATCCACCTTTTCCAATGCACTGCCTGGCTATGATGGTACCTGGCTTGACACTGGCGATTTGGGAAAGATTGTTGATGGGCAGCTGTACATCACAGGCAGAATCAAAGATGTCATCATCATCAATGGGAAGAACTACTACCCAACGGATGTGGAGCTCTCTATTGATGAAGCTTTTGGTAGTGCCATCCGTCCAGGAAGAACTAGTGCCTTCCAGCATGGAGATGCCAGTATTGGAATTACCATGGAGGGCCGCAAAGGGTTTGACAAGTCTGCAAATGAGGATTTGGCGGTGGACATTGCCAACCATGTCTCCCAAGCGCATGGGCTGTTTGCCTCAGAGGTTGTTGTCCTAAACTTGGGTGTGACACCCAAAACCACATCTGGCAAGCTGAAGAGAAGTGAGATCCGGCAGACAACTATGGCTGGTGATTGGAAGGTGTCTGATGTGCTTCTGCGATTCCAACGGCAGGCAAAGGCATCACCTTTCCAGGCAAATGTATCACCTTCTGAGAAGGGCTCTTTCCTTGAGCACAGCTTTGCAATGAAGGGAGTTACAAGCAGTGAGTTCTACTTGTCAGAACGAACTCAACGTGAAATCCACAGACGATCAATGACTCTACCGTTTGGATCTCTTGACATTGGCAGTGAGCCCAAATTTGAGCTTCATGATATTGACCTTAGCCAGACTAGCGTCCGCCTCCCTACCAAAGCTGTCGAAGCTGTCCTTGCTGTAGAGTGCGACCCCAGCAAGTTGGATGAGTATTTCTCTGAGCTTCGTCTTTCTGGGGTCTCTGGCATTGATGAAGCTTGGTCCACAGTCACCAAGACGACAGCTGCAATGCAAGCAATGTGCTCCCAAATCCTGAAGCATCTTGAGGACAAGCACCCAACCATCTGCCAGCTTGCTCACAGTCTTGTTGTGAATCCAGACTGGATCTTGATTGATGACAGGACAGGTTTCCTTTCTCAACTTGTGCATCAAATCTTTGTTCTGGAATGGGTAACAACATTTATGATGGATCATCCTGAGTGCATGCATCAGAAGCTGAAAAATGATGCAGCATGGGAGGCTCAGGACCACAATGATCAGACAGTTCCAGTGGAGCTCCAAGAGATACTGAACCTCCCAGAAAAAGACTCAATGTATGGGAAGTTGCCATTCTTCCTTTGGATCAAGCACAGATCAGTTACTCCACTACTGAACATTGTCAATCAAAGTTTGGTATCCGCTGAAGGCCCAACCATTAATGCACAGGTTGAAAGAATCAATAACCTCCTGTGTCTAAACATGTTAGAGGCTATTTGGGTTGAGCAAACATATGGACACAAGGAAAATTCAGAACTCGGTAGGAGACTTGCTACAAATCCTGTGATGACAGCCACAACCCTATCCAAGAAGGTTTTGATGGAGCATTCGTCCAATACGAGCGCTTGGAAAGATCTGTACATTGACTGGGATATGCATATTGTGGCCTGTAAGTTGCTTTTCTCAACATTCCATCTTGGCAAGTTATGGAAAAATCTCACCATTTTGCAATATCTTGTTGATGCATACCTTCAGGGGTCGGAGACAGAAATTCTTCCAGCTGGATCCTGTCCAAATTGCTGCTACCTAGCATTGTGGGAGATGTCAGTGGACATTTCTTCCATGCAAGGTTGATTAGTCTGTACCTGGTTACACAGGCCACAGGCAGCAAGCTGATGTCGAACAAGTTTCAGAATGAACCTATCCTGTCAAGAAGAGCACTGCACTATTTTGGGAAGCTAAACCTTGCCTGTGCAGAGAAGTTTGGTTACATCCCACTGGAACCAGAGAGCAAAAATCAGCTTGCTCTTGATGAAGATTACTGGCTGTCCAAGTTTGACCAGTGGGTTGGCGTCACAGAGGCAACAGATTTTAAATCCTCAGAAGATTTAAGGCGCATTGAATCCAAGGCTACAAATTTGCCAAATGATTTCCACAGAGTGGTTTCCACAATCCTTGGAGACCACTGGGACCCTCACAAAACTTGGACGGAGAACGGTCTTACATCACTCATGAGCGCTGAGCTGAAGAACAGAGTGGAGGAGGAGTTACATGTGATGCTTCCGGTGAACTTTGAGCAAGTCTATGCAACCCCCGACTTGCTTGCAGATTTCATGGCCACATCAGGGGGGGAGAGCTTTCCAAAGAGACTAGCGATCAACCACCCTGATTTCCATTGGAACCTTGAAAGGTCCAGCTGTACCAAGCTACAGCTAGGCATAATTCAGATTCTTGCTTTGGTGGCAATAGTTATCTTGGTCATGGTTTCAATTGTGCCTTCCTACTGGCTTGGAGCCTGGGCTATTGATTATTGTGCCGACACTGAAGCTGAAGAATGCAATGGTTTGGTATTTTGGATTCTTCTTCCCATTACCTTTCCTCTCTTTCTACTGTCATTTTCATTGATTGTGGTTCTATGTAAAACCATCATAATTGGCAAGTATATTCCAAGGCAATTTGGGCTCTTGACATGGGATTACATTCAATGGTGGTTTGTTGACCGAATGATGCACATGTGGGAAGTGCTGGTTGGAAGATACGTTCTTGAGACCAAGTTTGCTTGGACTTTTTATTGGCTTCTGGGGGCTGAGCTTGCATTTTCGACAAACATTGATGGGTTCATGCGGGAATTTGATCTCATCAAGATTGGCAAAGATGCCTCGCTCAAGCACCTCCTGCACTGCCGGAAATTCCACCTTTCAAATGGTGACACAGACAGCCCCAGCATGACTTTTAGACCAATCATTATTGGTAAGAACAGTACGATCTCGGGGATGGTCAGTCCAGGTGCATCTATTGGAGATGGCTGTAAGGTTGAAAAGCTGACCTGTGTGGAAGAGGGAGCTATGGTCCCTGATGGTGTTGTTGCCAAAGGAGTACCAGCATGTGATGCTGGCAGCTACCAGCATAAAGAGTCCATCAGTTGGGAAGAATCCATTCTGGATGCTATCAAGATTGCTTGGATGTTCGTGGAAGCATATCATTTCTTCGCTCTCTTTTTTCTGGTGAATGGCTTCTTGAATGCAATCTTGCCAACTTGGCGTTATGCCACCCTTCTACACTGGTTCCTCCTGATTCCCACGACTTCACTGCTTGCTATGACAACCAGTATCATCCTTAAATGGCTCTTGATTGGAAAGAGAGATCCATCACAAGCGTATGGCGGCTCTCTGTGGCAAAGAGCTACCAACTGGGCATGTGACTTCCATTTCAAGCTTGCTTCATGGCCCATTTTCCCCTTCTTTGGAAATTCTCGGCTGTGGAATGTGCTCCTATACCTACATGGTCTTGATGTTGACATTGTGTCCATGTTGACTATTAACCCATCCACCATTTTCTACCCCTCCAAGGTTGACTTCCTGAAGGTTGAAAGGTCCTTTGTTGGTGGTGTATCAGTGGACATGGAAAGCGCCACGGACAGATCCAGGAAGATTGAAATTAAGGACAGCAGCATAGGCCACAATGCCCACCTTGATGCAGGTTGCACCATTGTCAGGTCAACCATCCCACCACGTTCACAGGTGTCTGGTGCGGTCTATGATTTGAACAAAAGCAACTGCGAAGGAAAGAACCGTGTCAAGACTGAGACAGGCCTATCTATGGTTCTACGTGAAGGAGCCCAAATGATTCTGAACCTATTCATCTTTGCCAGTTTGATACCAGCTTATGAGCTTGGGTCGGCATCTGTTCGAAGCTCCAACAAAACTATGGTGACATTTGGAGTTGTTTTGGTCCCGTTCCTCCAGTTTTTTGTGTGGGTACTTCTCAGCAAGGGCGTCTACTTGATCACCTTCCTTGATGCCACCAAACCAATTCTCCCCTTCCTTTTTGGTGCATACCTGAATCATGCATGGATCTTTTCTACATTGAACTGGATGGTTTTTCTCATTTATGGGACACCTATGTTTGGCTACTATGCTCAATTCATGGGATCTGAAGCTGATGGTGACATCTGGTACTTTGGAAACGCTCTCTATGAGTATGGTCATTTGCATTTCAAAGGAAATGTTCTTGTGGACAATGCTCACATCACAGGCCATTACATTGATGGAAAGGGAATTACGATTGCTGAAACATTTGTCTCTGGAGTTGTGCACCCTGGTTGCTATGCCCCAGCTGGGTCAGTGGTTTCTGCTGAAGAGAATGGTCCTTGGAAGCTCTTCTATGCTTTGGGCAAGCAAAACAAATTGGATGTTTGTCTCCAGCGCGAAACCTGTGACTTGATTGAAACTGCCCGGGATTGCTCGATCAATCAAAGCAATCATGATGACTTCCCTTCAGAGTTCGAGGTGTAGGTGCTAATTTTGAGTTCCAAAATATTTCATCAAATGCTTGATTGCTATCAAGCTACAATTTCTCCCTAAAGGAAAGAGACTAGTCCCTGCTCCAAACCCCCTTCTGTCTAAAGATCAATCACTATAGTCTGGCCCTAGCTAGCTGGCTTTTGTGTATACAATCCACCTACTCTGAACCCCCGTTGATCACTATCTACTGCTAGTAGCTATAGCAAGCTTGCTAACGCTATTCAAGTGTCTCAATATAGATGGAGCCCGTTGACGCCATAAACGAGACCACCTTTCCGTCGAGAGTTTCAGGACCTGCTACAGTGACGTTTCCAGTATGAAACCTTATGTACCCGAATGTTCCTTCCGTGCATGGCAATGCCAGCATCGAATAGAATCAGCAACTGGACTGTGTACGTAGGTGAATGCAAGTGTTGCCACTTTGGTGAGCATACCGGTACCGCCCGGTCGTACGGTAGGAAGGACTGCTTGTTAGCTGTCTTCCGCAACAGGTATATGAAACACGTTCATCCCATCGTTTGTTCGCTTCGTCGATTATTACCAGGTAGGCAGCCACGATCGAGGCATTGCTCATTGCTCTATCTTTCTGGCAGTCAGGAAGCAAGCCTGTGTGAATTGGATTGGATTAGGGGTGTGCGTGTCTGTGCGTGGATGATTCAAGCGAATCACATTATAGTCAAACTTCCTTTTCATTTCGATAGCGTCTTAAATTTCCAATGCCCGTGTCAAATCAAATCCTGCCACAATCGTTCCGTGGCAGCCTCCACTGTGGGCACCCTATAAATGCCATAAAGACGCGCACCCGATTGCAATCCCAACTGTGAGGTATCAGCATCTTCCTCCTTGGGCAGAGCCTTTTCGATCCAGCTGTACCGGTATTCTTCCCGAAAGGCGTCCAATCCATACGCCCGTTCGACCGCATGGAAAGCAAAGAAGGAGAGGGTGGCAAGCAAGGGAGGAGGACGGAGAGGATCAAAGGAGGAAGACTAGCGGTAGAGATCAAGAGCCGGTCATCCCAACGCTTGGAGAGCTTGGAGAGCTTGAGAGCTGGAACACGAGAGCCGAGTAAGCACATCGTATAGGTACAGTGTAGAAGAAGCCGCTGTCGGTGAGAACGACCCAGAACACTGAAGGCGCGAAAAAAGCAGGCCCTGATTTTCTGAAGCTGTAAATCTTTTGGGACCAAGCAAAGAGCTGAAATTGGTCTGAGTGTTTGCATTTTCTATACTCTCCTCTGGGCCTTGGAATCCCTCAATCACCGTGATCATCTATGTGGCTACCGTACGCTGCAGTACAACAGGAGGAAGAACCAGCTCAAGCGTAGAGCCAGATACAGTTCTACTCCAATAACGTAGCTACCAGTTGCCATTACTGAGGCTACTGGCAGTGCTCAACAAGAATGAGAGATGCATCATTTTGGTATCGGTGGATCGATTGTCAAACTCGAAGCCATCACCGCCCGATGCCACTCGATCTGCGAGCTTCGACGTCGACAGCACTCCAGACTGTGGAAAACGGAGAGCAAATTCCAACAATTTTTCGTTTTTGAATGATTTTGATGAAAACTAATGTTGTTTCCCGAGCGCAAGGCTATCCTGCTTTGGCCAGATCAAAACCACGCAAGCAACAATACGAAACCTCAACAAACATATACTTTCGCTCCATTGCCACTTCTCTCGTTGGGACATACACAGAGGCTCTGTGTGAATTGCAGAAAACTCCAAGCGTCAATCAGCATGAAATTGTCGGCGATTTCAGGACTCACTCATCCTAGCCTTGCTGTTCCTGTTGCTGGTGCCCTGCTGCCATGGAATCCAAAAGCCTCATACTCCCATTAAAAATGGGACAACCAAAGAAGACTCAGCCCGTAACAAACTGAATGAAGCCATTCATGAGAGCCAGCCGAAGAAATCAACACGAATGAAGCTGTTCTCTCAGAAGGCGTACGTTGATTTTGTCATCGGTGTGCGCCAAGGCCACAAAAAGTATTGGTGGCTAATGTGTTGCATCGTTGCTATCCACGTATATTCGGCACTAGCATCGGAAGTCTCAGACTTCACACCAGGGGCATGCAACAATGACCATGATAGTGAAATGACTTTCTTGGGTTCAAGAGATTTTGGTGTGGATGCACGCAGAAATATTCTTATCGTCGCTCCCCTGGGATGTGAGGGAGAGGAATCCGGATTGGTTCTTCAGCTTTCTATTCGATCCCGGGGTGGAAGAAGTTACCTTTCGGTTTGTTCCGCTGGAGTTGCTGAATCGAATCATCTGGTACTATTCCTCCTTCTCCAAAACAACAAATCACATCACGAGCAGTACAGTACAAGGACAAACGCCAAACGATTCTCAAGCCAGTCACACTATTTCTTTCTAGCTTGATATTATTTGGATGGCCCCTATTGATGTGCCTCGCCTGAGTGAGTTGTTGCATGGAAATTTTGGTGAGCAATGGGCTGCTAAAATGTTTGTGGAATTTTTTGTGTTCGGTGGTTCTGTTTGCACCTCTCTATAATGAAGCCCATGGACTCCTGGCTTCCTTTGGAGCTCATGCCATGATTGAAGTGATGGGCATGAGGTGTCACACCACGGCGCGGATGAGTATAGAGCTCTTTCTGCGATTTTGCTCGCGGACATTTTCTACCGCCTCCTTGTGATTGCCGACACAGGGGTCCAAGAAAACGGCGCGATGGACCAAGCTGTCCATGTAGTAAGTAGTACGATGTTTTGGGGGCTCGTGATGAGCTTCAGAGAGAGGTGTTGTTGAAAGAAACATTGGTCTATTGCGCTGCGATCCTGCGACCCACCCGTCATGACGGGCATCCAGCGACGATTCTAGCTAGCTAGACAATGAATTGGTTGGAGAGGTAAAAAGCCATGACTAGCTAGCCGTGTGTCTTGTAGCTATACTGCTCTCTTGTTGTTGTGGTGGTGGTTGTCGTTGGTATTATGCATGCTTGCATGCACGATTTGGAATATGTATGTGATGTGTCGGTAGTCTTAAAAAGTGGGTGATGGCCAAGAAGACAGAAAAAGAGCCCAGTGGCATGGCTACTAGGCACTGGCGGCTGTCAAGTCCGACAATAAGGCCGTGTTGGTTTCCTCTTGTTGCAGCGACGACGACGACGACGACATGTCTTTGGGAATGGGTCCTCCTTCCATTCGAATCTTTTCAAAGAATCCTGGCATTTGAGATCCCTTACCACCGCCCGGATACATGACATCGGGCAGTACTTCCAAGTCCATATACTTGGAGAGAATATCCAAATAATCTTCCTTGGTGGTAAAGATGAATTTGTCTTGGACTCGATCATCGTAAAAGTGCACGGCGACCTTCCATGCCATTTGAAAGAGCCGTGGAGCTCGTACCATGACAATGCGTTTGGCGAGTCCGGGATAATGATCTTGGGCAATGCGTGCCGTTTCCGACAAGAGTTGAAACATGGCGGGTCGTAACAGTTGCAATCCCAGTCCTTCCAGATCAATGAGAATGGTAAATTGGGTGACGCGTTTGCCCATGACGCGTTCGTAGTGTCCTTTTTGCCATTGCCATTCGGTCCGAATGCCGACTTCGCGGGACGTATGAACTTCCGAGACAAACCGCATGGCATCCATCATGGCGTCCAGCCCAAGCCGTTGGTAGAGTCCCCAGCCATCCAGTACTCCAATGCGTTCGACAAAAATGGGATCTCCGTCGTGATCGAGTCCTCGCAGTAAAAAGAGGGGTGCATAGTGGAAAATGGCGGGTGGTTCTCCGTAGCGTTCCATAAAGGTATCAATGTCATTCTCCAACCGCCAGGCAATCATGCCACGAAACATTTCTTCCGCTTTGGACACGTGAAAATTGTGTTCTTTAATAAATCGCGCCACTTCGGCCGGGTCGTTCTTCCAGTGATCAATGTCGGACAGCCGGATGCGCAATTCCAAAAAGCGTGCTTGTTCCTCTGGAGTAAACTGCCAGGCATCCAAGACTTCCTTCACGTTGGTGTCGCTCCAACGTGCTTCGGCTGTCTCGCAGGTAGCATTTGCAGTAGTGCTAGTACTGTTGTTAGGAACAACCACCGTGTCCGCCCCAACTTGCAAAGTGGAATCATTCACCAAACAAGAGAGACCGAGGATACCCCACAGAGACAAATAAAGCAATCGCGTTATCATCATGGTCGTCTGGTTGTTGATACCGTAGATAAGACAAGATAAGATAAGCGAGTAGAGTAGATTGTCAAGAAGACGAAAGAAGACTGAAGAATCGTGTGGTTGATTGGCTTGTGGTCTATTGGTTCGGCTGTTGATTGATTAGCTGGTGCCAAGAGGTGAGTCAAACCAAATTTCCGCCGCTCAAGTAGTGGTACCCTACTTGTTCCGAACTACTGTATGCAAATAGAACTCTCGCTTCCCACTCCAAGGGGCAAACCACCACGCTACGAGGCAGAGAGCGAAGCCGTTGTCACCACGCTGACGGCAACAATCAGAATTCATCAAAATCTTTCTCATGAATCCTTGCTTTCTCAATCAGAGAGACTTAGAGGTCAAAGCCTCTGTCTAAGTACCAAGTTGATTGATAAATCCTATCGAGACCCGTACTCGACTGGAGTGGCAGGAGGTGCGCGAAGTCACGCTTGCGACTGAGGAAAAGCCGTTGGCCAGAAATCTCAAATCGAGAATGGGAACAGCACACCTCTAAAGAATCGAATCTTCTCAAATAGATCCAGACTTGTTAATTAATAGCTGTGGGAAGAATAAGATACTAACAAGGACTTTACTTCTATCTCTGGTAATCTATACAGTACCGGTATCATCAAAGAACTAAAGAGTGGACCATGACCGAAGGCACTACCACTACCGAGACAAATAATCCAATTCCCGTGACGGAACAATACAATCTCAAGACGGACCATGATGACATGCCCAAGTCGGAACAAGCCGGTACCGGTCGTCAAGGCCGGGTCTATTCGACGGAATACGGTCAAAAACCGGGAGGTCTCCAAGTGGAAGACATGATTTTTGGTTTGAAAATGGCACATCTCTCTTGTACCGATGACACAGAAGGCAGACTCGCATCTCCAGGGCCAAACACGTTGGCGGCCGTCGAACACATTGTCGGCAAGGAAGATGCCAAAAAGCCACTCAGTGAATTGCTAAAGAAGCATTTTAATCTGAACATGGATTGTTGGATTGATGAAAGTGGATGGCGCCATGCACGGGCGGTGGATACGCAGGGGTATATTGCGTCCAATGAAGATACCATTGTTCTGAGTTATCGATTTACAACGTCCAACATGGACTGGATGACCAATCTTAGCATGACCACATCCGAGTGGGAGCCAGGTATGTACATATCCAATTGGAACGCGAAATAATCTTGAATGATGATCTCTAGCGTCATATTTTTTCTTTGCTCGCCATCCTTTTTTGTTCTGAAAAAAAAAAGACCGCGATGAACTGATCGGTCATGCCGGATGGTGTTCCTGCGTCGATGGACTCTACACCAAATACTTTACAGAACGCGGCAAACCACGGATCCACACGGGATTTTACAACAACTTTGTCTACACCATACCCATGATCCGAAAATATGTGCTGGAACCACTCCTCAAATCCGATGCTACACCCAAAAAGGTTTACGTTGTGGGATGCAGTTTGGGTGCTGCCATTGCCACCTGTGCCTTTTGCTTTATCCTGCAAGAAATGCAACCCTCCTTGGAAAAACCAGACTTTTGCAATCACAAACTCATCAATGTGACAGCCGGATCACCACGTGTCTGTAGCAAGCAAATGAGAGATCAAGTCATGGAACGCATGGCCAAATTACGACCACTGGATCGAGCCGTCATTTGTCGCATGGTCTATAATCACGATGTCGTACCGCACATGCCTCCGAATGCCATTGGATTTGTGCATCTCGACAAGCTCGTTTACATTCCGATCGACGGACACGATATTCTCATCAATCCACACATGAAAGAAACCAAGAGCATGGCCGAAGTCAAAACCATTGTTGGCAATTTCCGGGCGGCAAACAATGCCAGCCATCCAGTACCTGACAGTGAAGATCATCACCCCGATGATGATATCAAAACACGGTTTGAAGAAGAGTGCGAAAAGACTCCCGAACCCATCAAAGATCACATGCCTTACTGGTACCTGACATGTCTGGAAAGACTCAAACAGCGAGCCGATGCGGGGGATGTGTAAAAGAAATTCATTTTGTACAGGAGCAGAGCCCGTGAGATTGGTCATGTGTGTTTTTCTTTTGGACATGAGCTCTCTCGATTGTGTGACTTTCCCGTCTGGATTGGTGTTCTGGGTGAACGAGTTTGCATGGTGTATCAGTAGTTTTGAGCTGGTGATTGTTTGGTCCGTTGGCTGTTGTAGTTTGCAACCTCTGTGACATTAGTAGCTTGTTTCGCATTTTCTATGGAATGTTGTCACCTCGAGCACTTATTCCCGCCCCACCAAGTGAACTCTCGCACACGGTACAACGCCCAAGAGGTGCAATCTTTCCAACCTTCCACAACCTCAATACGTCCCTTCACCAAGCAACCGTTTCCAGCCGAGCTCACCACTCCCTGTTTCTCAACCTACCAATATCTGATTGCTTTGTACCGGTATGCACTACATGCATCATAACTCGAATCTCACCGGTGGTCTCTATCCCGACCAAAAGCTACTAGTAGTCTCGTTCTCTCGGCCATCTTGTAGCGGCCCTACCGGTACTAGTATCGTTAAACCCTAACTAGCTAGCTAAGCCCACGCGCATCCACTGCATTTTTATTCTTATTTCCGAAGCTCTCTCATGACCTCTATTCGATCCGATCTTGACCCGTGTCTATTGAGCAACGACACAAAGATATTGAGATCATGGAAGGCACAACTACCACTGACAATGAGATCTCCATCAATGAGATGCTCAAGAGCTTCCTGACTGATGAAGCTCTGAATGATATTGCGAACGGAGGCCGATGTGCAGTACGATGTAGACATGGGATGACACAAAAGAATAAGCTAAAAATTAAAAGGGGATTCTACGTCTACCTCGTTCTAGCGAGTCCCGGGAGGTTCACTCGTGATTGCACAACCACCAGCTGGTTTTGGCTCCTCTCGCACTCCTCTTGAACGACGGGGTAGCAATGTACCGTAGTCCTTTGCTGCACAACGATGTAAACTCTAAACAAACACAACATGCAATGTAGTGGCCTTAGCCACCTGTATGATGGAGGGTGATCCCATTGCGCAAACGCAGTGAAAGCTGTCGCAAACAGGGATGGGCATTAATGAGCATTGCTTGCACCTCGTTCAAGACCACCTGTCTGGGAAGACAACTTGGGGGCTCTAACTCTGGCAAACCTGGAACCAGGTCAAAGCACACTCGCTCCAAAGTTCTATGATGTGAAGGTGCATTGGATCCGCAGTACATCTCAAGCCTGGTAAGCATCGAGGTGGCGAAAATCGACACCAGCAGACCAGCTCGCTGACCTGTTCACCAAACCCTTAGGCGGAGAAGTCTTCGAACGCGCTTCGACTTCGTTTAATGGGCCGGTAGCGTGCTACAGTTTTTTTCAGCTCGCGGAGTAAGATATTTTCTTCTCCTCTGGCCTCGAGCTGCATGTTGTCGTCGCGTTGGAGCTTGCGGAAGAGATGTCTGGCGTCGTTCTACTGGTGCGCACGTCATTGGATGCGCGCGCAAGCTAGATCTCGTCAAAGAGGGAGAACTCCTTTTCTTTTCTTTTCGCAACTCCAACTCTCCCAAATTGATTGCGTCACGAAAGGCACTCCAACGTCACCATGTCACGTCGCGCGCGATCTCCAACGCTGTAATTTTCAAATTAAGTGTTGCTAGCGCAAAAGTTGATTTCCATGCTGGACGTCGAAAACTACCACGTGAGAAAACACGCCAATCAAAACCGTTTTGCGAAGTGGGTTTCGCCCAGCGGGAGCTCAACAACAACAACTTGATTTGAAGGCTCACAAATCGAAGTGGACCTACAATAGAAGGACTGCTACGACCACGAGCTGCAACACACCCTGCATTTTATATCTGTTGCATATCTACTCCATCTTGAGATCGACCATGAAGCGCACCGGAAAGAACAACCAAAGCAACAAGAAGAACCGTCGCAAGGTGCTTGTGGGGTACTCCCAAGCAAGTTCCAGTTGCTGCTGAAGCTCCTCCGAGAAGCCAGCTCCCAAGAAGGCTACCGTGAAGAAAGCAGCTGGGAAGAAGCAACTACCTTGAAGCCAACCGCGGTTACCCCTGTTGCAAAGGCCGACCCTGCTGACAAGGTTGACGTGGGAACGTTGCTACAAGACCCTGCCGTCAACAAGCTCCTCACCATGCTAACCAACCAGCCTGGTCTGTTCACTCAGGTCGCCAATTCAGCTGCTGCAGTCGCCGACACTTCAGCAGCATCCAACAACGACGACTCGGTCTCCGAAACAGCGTCGTGGAAGTCGTCGCCGCCACTTCCAAGAAGGTCCCCAAGACAACTAGAGCTGGAACTGCCGTCGCGATCAAACAAGAAAGCAAGCCTGCCGGAATGACAGCTCGAAGCTCGATACCGACAAGCCTGTTGTTCTAGTTCGATGCCGTCCAGCATCAAGATAGCAGTCGCAACCTCACAGTCGAGATGGTCGGGAAGCGTTGGTTCACGGACTTCCTTACAACCCACCAGGTCGAAGATCGTGGTCTGAGCGGACTCGACATCGAGACCAAAATTGGAGGTCGCTCCGCGCTCATTTCCAAGCTAGTGGCTTTCATGAAAGACACTGTGTACAAGACTCGTATCCCTTCTGTCACGAAACGTCGAACTTGTCTCCAGCATTTCATGCGCAAGGGAGTTCAACTTTGGGGTCTCACCATTGAAGAACAGCGCAAGGTGCTCTCCCAGAGGACGGACGTGCTACGCACGCCTCGGAGAATGACTATGAATGGAACGACCTGAGCAGCCATTCATTGAAATTGACGACGACAATGATGAAGAAGAGGAGCAGGACGAGGACGAGCACGAGAGCGAGAATTAAACGAGGCGAGGTTGATCTACGAAAATACAAGAGATGGAGCAACTACCAA